ACGCACATGCTTCTGAAAGAGCCAGAACACGGAGAGTGTGACCCAGAGGGACTAGGAGACACAGGCCCTGACTTCCAGGAACTCTCACATGGAACCGCCCCGTCTTGTTCTTTGCTGGGTGTGTGAGTGTGGCCTGGCACAGACACGCTTCCTAGACAAGCTGCCAGCATCACTGCCGTCCTCACGATTGATTTCTCACTTGGGGAGTGAGGACCAGCGTGGGCTGGTGGCGGTGTCCTCACACAGAGGTGGTCCTAGCGGGTACAGGAGCCAGATGGCTGAGGCAGGCTTTTGGGGAATGTGGGGCTCAGGCACATTCTTGGCAGCTGAGGGCGGGAGGCGTGCACGATAGTATTCAGCTCATGTGTGACCCGTGGGAGTCACTTATTTTGTGGGCTTCACTTATCGTGTTGGCAGCCTCTCGGCAGGCACTGGGATGCCCAAGGAGGAAGGCATGGGGGGCCCGGCCTCAGCCCTGAGCGGGGGAGGTCAATATTTCCCACCCAGCCCTGGTGTGGGGTGCCAAGCCCCCCCAGATCTGATCCCTTCCAAGAAAAGCATGCTTGTTAGAGAGACGTTTCTCTTCTCCCTACTCCACCTTTGAATTTTCATCAGGTTATAGACAGGCAGACAGGGAGCCCACGCCCACCCTGGCGAGTTCCTGGAGGCAGCTGTCCCCTCCCGCAGTGCCATCCCCGGTCACCATGGAGAGATGGCTCGGGCACACTGGAGCCGGGGGCTGACGGGGGCAGGTCCTGCTGCCCGAAGGTGGAGGGACAGCTGGCTGGGCTGGGGGGACTTGTGTGCTTTGTGGCACTCCGGCCAGCAGGCTGTCTTCGTCAGGGGTGCCTGGCCCAGCCCCGGCCCGAGGAGGCTGCTGGCCGAGTTTTTCCTGGGTGGGCCCACCACGCTCCTGGGCTGTGACTCAGACCCTGCGTCCCAGGCACTCTCCCCAGCAGCGCCCTCCCGGGGTGAGCAGACTGGCCTGAGTTTGCAATTCCCTGCCCTCCTGCGGCCACTTCCCCCTCTCTCTCTGGCTGTGTAGTGCGACGTAGGGCGTTGGTGCCACTGCCCGGTGGTGTGAGCTGCTGGCCTGGCCCCCTCCTCCGTGGCCCTGCCATTCCTAGAGATTGCTAAATGGCCATCTCTGGCCTCCATCTGGCGGGAAGAGGCCGTGTGAGAGAGAGGGCTTGGCGGCAAAGATGTCCCTGGGCTGCTGGCCCAGGATGGGTGGGCCCTGGTCTTCTGAGGGAGAAGGAGCCTTGGGGGCAGAGACAGCCATGGCCAGCGAGCCTGAGGGGAGGGGCAGGGCTGGCGCTCAGCCTGGGGTCCGCTGGAAGAGGGTCAGTCCCCCGTGGCTGGGCCTGGGGTCTGCACATGGCCTTCCCGTGGCCCAGCTCTCGAGGCCCTGCCTGGCCTCTTCTTGCTGGGTCCTCCTCAGACCTGCCTGGCTCTCCCTTCTGCCGGGGCCTCTCGGCTGGGTCCCCACTTCCCAGGGCCGCCCTGGGCCCGGCCGCGGGGTCGCCAGGGT